GAGCGCGGCAGGTTGACGGTACATCATTTTCGGCGTCTCAAGGGCCGGCGAATGGGGCGCTCCTTTTTTAGGGTCTACATGCGTCGGACCGCCCCTCCGCCGAGGGGGGGGGGGGGCGAGTCGCGCGCCCCACGGGAGGCGCCCTCTCTCTCTCTCTCTCTCTCTCTCTCTCCGTGCGTGCGCCGCGTCCGTGTTACCTCCGCGGTGCGGTGGACCAGGAGGGGGGGGGGGGGGGGGGGGGCGTCGACCCGCAGGGCGGTGTGTGCTGCGCCTCTGTTTCGGGTCTCTTAACGGCGCCGCGCATGCTGCACCTCCCGTCCGGGGAGGGGGAAACTTGGGGAGCTGGACGTGTGCTGCTCGTGGGGGCACGCAGTCCCCGGCCATTTGGCGTGGGCCGGGCCGGACGCGCGCGCACACCGATTTGGTGCGCTTCCCGGCGCCCGGCGGCGGGCGTGGCTTTGTTTCCGCCTCGGGCGTGGTTCCGGGAGAGGGGGGGGGGGCTGCGATCCAGCCGGATCGGTTTCGCCCCATGTTCCGGGCCTCTGTCCCCCCGGTGCAGGCTCTCCTCCGCTGGCAGGGAGAGGGCGGGGGGGAGCCGGCGCAGCCGGGAGGGAAGAAGGGCTGCCGTTGGTGGGGGCAATGTCCCTCGGCTGCCCGGACGCGGGCGTGTCTCGTGTGCCGCGGGGTGTCCCCGGAACGTGTCTTGTCCCGCCCTGCGGACCGGCCCCCTCCTCCCCCCCCCCCCCCCCGACCGCGCCCGGAGTCAGTCCGCCGTTGCTGGGCCTGCCCCGCGTGCGGGGGCGGAAGTGCCGGGGGGGCAGCGGGGGAGTGAGCCGGGCGGGGGGAGTGGTGGGCGGGGGGCGAAAATGAAATTGAGGCACCCTCCCAAACACTGACACACGCTGGAGACCTCTTGGCTTCCTTACTTGTTGTGTTTCACTCATCGCTAGTACTGAAGTTCTTCACAATGAAGTCCGTTTTCCTGCCTCCCCTCCTCCCCCCCCTTTTGCACCTCCTCCTCCTCCTCCTCCTCCTCCCTCGGCGCCCTCCTCCTCCTCCTCCTCCTCCCTCGGCGCCCTCCTCCTCCTCCTGCCCGCGCTCTGCTCTGCGTGGATCTCCCGTCGGCGCGCGTGCGTGCGCGCCTCCCTCATGTCCTCTGGATCCCTGTTGTTTCGGTTTGTGAACGCGCGCGCGTGTGTGCGCACGCACGGGCGACGGGACTACGCTCGTGTGCACCGCACGCCCTGCTGCGCGCGAGCCCGGCCGCGAACGTGCACATCTGATCGGGTGACTCCCTTGGATTCCTCCCCCCCACCCACAGACATGTCGGAGCGCCGCCGCCGCCGCCGCCGCCGCCACCGTATCGGGAGACCGCCGAGCCGCGAGACAGCGGGGCATGGGGGCGGCCCCAGAGCGCCGAGGGTTCCCCCCCACTTCTTTTCCGCTGTCCCGGTCGGATGCGACAATTCCTTCCTGCATCCGACGACGTAACCCCGCTAACCGACTCCCATTCTTGCCCCCCCGCGCGCGCACTCCCTCTCCCTCCTCGTCCACAGGGTCGAGATCTGCTCGTACTCTCACTACCGTATCCACCCCGGTCACGGCAAGCGCTATGTCCGCCTGGACTCCCGCGTACGTGGTGGTTTGCTCACACTTCCCCTTGTGACAGTCCTTTCTCTCTCTTTCTACGCGCGCGCGCGAGTGCGAGCGTCTCGTCCCCTAACATCGCCTCCCCGCTCGGTCTGCCTCTGTCTTCTCTCCCCTTCCCCCGTGCATTCCCGCCCCCCTCCCCACTCGCGCTCGCGCGCCCCGCCCCCTCTCATCCATCACCACTCTCTCTCTCTCTCTCTCTGCCCGTCCGTCCTGCTCGCAGTCCTTCGTCTTCATCACCCGCAAGGCTGAGAAGGCTTTCCTGAACAAGTGCAACCCCCGCCGCACTCGCTGGACTGTCATCTACCGCCGCATGAACAAGAAGGGTATCTCTGAGGAGACTTCCCGCAAGCGCAACCGCAAGACCAAGAAGTTCTTCCGCGGTGTCGTCGGCGCCTCTGCCGAGGTCGTCCGCGCCAAGCGCAACCAGGCCCCCGAGCTCCGCGAGGCCCAGCGCAACGCCGCCATCAAGGAGGCCAAGGAGAAGAGCCGCGCCCGCAAGGAGGCCCTCAAGGCCCAGGGTGCCGCTGCCTCCCAGCAGAAGACCTTCGCCAAGACTGTCCGCGCCCCCAAGTTCATGGCCACCTCCCGCTAAGTGCGTGCGAGTGTGACACATCTCCTTGTGTGGGGGGCGGCCGGGCGCGCGCGTGTGCGTGTGTGCGTGTGTGTGCGTATCGCATGCGCGCTCCTCCACGTCCGCACGCGCGCCCCGGCTGCCCGACTGTGCCCCGCAAAGGTGGGAGTGGTGTGTGTGTCGTGTGGTGTGGCGGGGGGGGGTCCCCCCCTCTCCCTCCCCTCTCCTCGCCCCGCGGCAAGAGCGCCGCCGCCGATTCACTCTCCCATCCCTCCCCCCGCACGGTGTGCTCTCGGTTTCTCTCGGGCGGAGCGGCGCCCGGATGGAGGGGGGCCCCCAGTGCGCGCACGCTCTCGTGCTGCGGGGGCCCCTCCCTTCCCTCTCTCTCTCTCCCCCTTCGGATTGCAGCGCGCTCTGTGGTGTGCAGTTGCATCGTCATCATCTTGTCAAACAGCGATAACTTTTCTCGATATTCCGCCGCGCGCGCGCGCTCTGCCGGTGTCTTATTTTGCGTGTGTCTGGGGGGGCGGGGCGGGGGGAGAGGGGCTCGGTGTCGTGTCTCGCGTTGCTCTCTCGCTCTCTCTCTCGCTCTCTCTGCGTCTCACCTGTGCCGCTGCTGTGGGGTGGGCTGTGTGCTGTTGGCGGTTGCCGCCTTCCGGGGGTGGGGGCGGGCTATCCTGCCCCTCCCGGGCGCTGGGTCCGTTCGCCGGCCGGCCTTCCGGGAACGCAGGGGACCGTGGCCGAGGGGGGGAGGATCGCCGGGCCTAGTTGTGTGTGCGCGCCCCTCCTCTGCGTCTGATATGGAGGCTGCATCCTCCTCCGCAGGCGGCTTGCCTCGGCGCCTAGTCCCCCGGCCTGGCGCGGGGAACCCTCCCCTGCTCCGGCGGGGGCCGCCGGGGGCCCCGTCCTCTCTCCCCCGGTGACGCAGGACACGCGAAGGGGGCCTGCGGGCGCCGGCCGGGGCGCGCGCGCGCATCCTGGCGTAGTTGTGGGCAGGGGAGCAGCGGGCATAATCCGGCCCCTGCGCTGTTTGCACGGCCGGGGGGGGGGAGGCCCGGGGAGGCAGCCCGGCGGTGTACTTGTTCATTGGCACATATGACACATGATCAATCCAACTTGTTTACCCTCGGCAAGGCGCGCAAAGTCAATCCGGGCAGGGCCGACCGTGGTGACCTCGATCGGCGTGGCTGCGGGCCCCAGGACATCGGCGCGCCCCGGGCGGGCACGGCGGGGGAACCCAGCTGCGTCTTTGTCGAGCGCCCTGCCCGGGGCCGGTCCCTCTCGCCCCCCCATCTGAGGAGAGGGGGAGCCGGTGGGCGCCCGGGGCTGGCTGGGACTGGCTGGGAGGGATGATTCGCTTCCCGGCCTGGACGTTGCGCCCGTTCGGAGCATACGTAGAGCGAGCCGTCAGCATTTCGGCTTGGTCCTTCCCCGGGTCAGGTATGTATGTTCCGGTCCGCTCACCAAGAGAGGTCCTGAGGCCCATGTAGATTGCCAGGGGCGAAAGGGAGGCCGGGGCAGCGAGGAGGAAATGACTGGCGTGCTGGTCACGGCAGCGGGGTCCCCGGCTG